TTTTTTGTCCATTAAAAAAAAGAAAGATTGCTACAGAGTTGATTCCTACTCATGGTGATCCCATGTTTGTCAGAGTAGAACTGTGCTCCACAGGGTTTTCAATGGCTGAGTTTTCCAAAAGGGTCTTTCTTCAAGGTGCCTCCATGTGGACTTGAATGGCCAACCTTTCTGTTAATAAGTGAGCCTATTAAACACTTATACGATTCAGGAACAACTTGTCCATTGTTGTTGTTGGTTGTCAATGACTGAGTTCCAATACATAGACATCTTATGTATCACAGAAAGAGGCATTATTTAGTCCTGTAACATCCTCATAGTTGTAGCTATGTTTGAAACCATTGTTCTAGCCACTATATCAATTCATCTCATTAAGGGACTTCTGTTTTGCTGCTTTAGCAAGTATGATGTCCTTCTCCAGGGACTGGTCCCCATTGATAACATGCCCAAAGTAAGTGAGATGAAGTCTCACCATCTTCATTTCTAAGGAGCATCCTAGCTGTACTTCTTCCGAGAAAGATTTGTTCATTCTTCTGATAGTCCATGTTATATTCAACATTCTTCACCAACACCACAATTCAAATGCTTCAATTCTTCTTCAGTCTTTCTTATTCATTGTCCAGCTGTTACATGCATCTGAGACAATTGAAAATAACATGATGTGGGTCAGGTGCACCTGAGTCCTCAAAGGTACTGAAGAAGTCCAAATTGCATTGAAGGTATTGGTGAAAAACAAAGCTCCAGCAATTGACAGAATACCAATTGAGATGCTTCAACAAATGGATGCAATGCTGAAAGTGCTCACTTGTCTATGCCAAAAAATTTGGAAGACAGCTACCTGGCCAATCAACTGGAAGAGATCCATATATGTGCCTATTCCAAAGGAAAGTGATCCAGTGGAATGCAGAAATTGTTGAACAATATCATCAATATCAGACACAAGTAAAATTTTTCTAAAGATAATTCAAAAATGGTTACAGCAGTATATAAACAGGGATCTGCCAGAAATTCAAGCCAGATTCAGAAAAGGACATAGAATAAGAGATATTGCTGATGTCCGATGGATCTTGGTTGAAAGCAGAGAACACCAGAAAGATGTCTATCTGTGTTTTATTGACTATGCAAAGGCATTTAACTGCATGTATAATAACAAATTATGGCTAACATTGTGAAGAGTGGGAATTCCAGAATACTTAATTGTGCTCATGGGGAAACTGTACATAGACAGAAGCAGTCACTTAAACAGAACAAGGAGATCCTAAAAACCAAACCAAATGTACTGACATTGAGTTGATTCTGGCTCATAGCAGTCCTGTAGGACAAAATAGAACTGCCCCACAGGGTTTCCAAGGATGTAAATCTTTATGGAAGCAGACTACTTTATCTTTCCCCTGAAGAGCAATTGGTGGGTTCTAACACCCTTTTGGTTAGCAGCTCAATACTTTAACCACAGCATCACCAGAGCTATGTGGTTTAAAATCAGAAAAGTTGTGTGTCAAGATTGTATCCTTTCACCATACTTACTCATTCTCTATGCTGAGCAAATAATCCAAGATGCTGGAGTATACAAAGAAGATTGTGGTATCACAATTGCAGGAAGACTCATTAAAACTTGTAGCCTAAGGCATTTGACTGCTAACCAGAAGGCTGATGGTTCAAATCCACCAGCCACTCTTCGGAAGGAAGTTTGGACAATCTACTTCCGTAGTGATACCACATTAGAAACCCAAGGAGGGGTTGTTATGAGTCAGAAATGACTCGACAGCACAGATGGCACATAACAACAACAACAACATATGCAGATGACACAGCCTTGTTTACTGAAAGTGAAAGGGACTTGAAACACTAACTTATGAAAATCAAAGACTACAGCCTTCAGTATGGATTACATCTCAACATAAAGAAAACAAAAATCCTTACAACTGGCAATGACATATCTGACAAGGGACTTATCTCTAAACTTAATAGAAAATCCCAACACCTCAACATCAAAAAGACAAACAATCCAACTAAAAAATAGGCAGAAGACATGAACAGACACTTCACCAAAGAAGATATTCAGGTGGCCAACAAATATGTGAAGAAATGTTATGATAATTAGCCATTAGAGAGACACAATCAAAACAACAGTGAGATACCATCTCATCCCAGCAATAATAGTAAAGTTCAACAAGACAGAAAATAACAAATACTGGTGAGGATTTGGAAAGATTGGGACTTTCATACACTGCTGGTAGGACTGTAAAATGATACTGTGGAAAAAGGTATGATACTTCTATAAAAAGTTGGAAATAGGAATACCATTTGATCCACCAATCCTGTTACTAGGTATGTATTGCAAAGAAATGAGAGCCAGGACACAAATAGATATATGCACACTCATGTTCATCACAGCACTGTTTATGATAGCAAAGTGATAGAAACAACCTAAGTGTCCATCATCACAGGAATGGATAACCGTACTATGGTACATAAACACAGTGGAATGCTATGTAACCCTAAAGAATATGCAAACCACCACATAACATGGATGAACTTGGAGGACGTTATGCTGAGTGGAATAAGTCAGTCACAGAAGGACAAATATTGTATGAGTCCACTATTGTAAAAAGTCAAGAAATTGCATATGGAAGGAAACTTTGTTTGTTACCAGGGATGGGATGGAGGGGAAAATTGCTAGGTAAGTAAGTGAAAAATATTAATTTAAGTAAAAGGAAAGGCAATATACTAAAAGCAAGTGACAGAAAAAAAAAAAAAAATCCTTACACCTGGACCAATTAGCAACATCATGATAAATGGAGAAAATACTGAAGTTGTCGAAGATTTCATTTTACTTAAATTTACATTTGACACACATGGAAGCAGCAGTCAAGAAATCAAATGACATATTGGATTGGGAAAATGTACTGCAAAAGACCTCGTCTGTATTAAAAAGCAGAGATGTCATTTTGAGGACTAAGGTGCTCCTGACCCAAGCTATTTGTTCATTAAAAACTCCAAAACCAAACCCATTCCTGTCAAGTCAACTCTAAATCATAGCAACCCTATAGGGCCGAGTAGCACTGCCCTGTAGGATTTCCCAAGCTAAAATCTTTACAGAAGTAGATGGCCAAGTCTTTCTCCTGTGCAGCAGCCGATAGTTCGTACCTTCCAGTTAGCAGTCAAGTACTTTAGCCACTTTACCATCAGGGCTCCTATTTGCTTATAGGGCTCTACAATCTCTCAGTAAATTGACAGGGGGAAAGAAAGATCAACGAAGTTGAACTGTGAGGTGAATGCTGAGTGCTGGAGAAATGCAAAGGGAACCTTGGAGTCTGTGTGAAGAGGGGAAGAATATTTTTCTGTAAAGGGTGAAGTACACATTGGGCATTCCTGCACTTAACACTTAAAAAAGAAGCTGCAAAATGTAAGGTTATGATCTGTAATCTTGGGGTTTCCACAGATTTACCAAACATGCCTCTGTGTTTTAAAGTCCCAACTGAAAAATGGAAATGTTCTGAGCACTGTTGGAAAGTAAATTTGCAACTTGCCTTGATATTACTCCTCTGCACTAACACTGTATTACATGCCTGCAAATCTTTCTATGGCAATTTTTTTCTGTTTAAAGGGAAAAAAGAAAAAAAAAAAAAAAAAAAGACTTGTTCTTTGGACATCCATACAACTTCATTTACTTATAGTACATAACTTTAGGATCTGTGATAATTTGGAGGGACTGGGCTAATGTTGACCTTTTACCTACTATTTTAAAATGATTTGCTGAACTGGTTCAGAATAGCCAGAATTTTGAGCACAATGTTTTTCTGCTTAGGAAAGAGTTCATCTGCTTCTAAGCAGTGAAAGAGCTCCCATGTTTAAAATCTTACTTTAGTCTCCTGTTTTCTGTTTTACAGAGCACATTCACATATATCCTCTCATTTTTATTTGATTTCTGTATAAACCATATCAAGACAATATAAGCAAAATTCAAGGGTAGCACACAAATTATCAATATCTTTTCATCTATTCATTAAGATGGATTTTCTTCCACAAACATGCCAGAGTTTCACAGTATTTGTTTGGAAGTAGTGACTACATTTGCTTTTAAATACTGTAGTCGATGCAGAGTTTCATTAATCCAGACTGTCTTGCTCTCTAAATTACTATTGAATTTTGTGTTTGAATCATGTAATATAGTGGTTTTCAAAGGGAGGCAGTTTTACCTCAGGGGATGTTTGGCAAATTTTAGAAACATTTTTGATTGTCACAATTAAGAGGTACTACTGGCATCGAGTGGGTAAAGGCCAGGGATGCTGCTCAGCCTCCTACAATGCACAGGACAGCCTCCCACCACAGAGAATTATCCAGCCCCCAATGTCTATAGAGCTGAGGTTGAGAAACCCTGATTGTTCTGGTTACCTAGTACCGCAAGGATATACCACAAATAGGATGGCCTTAACAAACAGGAGTTTATTCTTACAATTTGGAGGCTTTAAGTCCAAGTTCAAAGTGCCAGGCTGTAGGGGCTGGGTGAAAGTCCCTCAACCTTGGGGTCCAGCTTTGCCTCCTGCTCCCGGCCCACTGGAGCTAGAGGTGTTTCTTCACTCAGACAGCTGTTGGCTGCTGAGGCTGAGAAGCCCCAAGATTGACAAGTAAAATGGCACAGTCCCAATGTTACCAACCCACATGGCAGGTCACTGACTTAAGTCCATTGTAAGTCCCAAGGTCAGCAGAGCATAGGAGGCTGCTGAGCAATGACATGGCTACATGCAGGGTCCAAGCATGCCATAGGCTAGAGACCATTCCCAAAGGCTTCTCCTTTTATACAGGAAGCAGACTACATCCCAAAGTCAGCTACTCAGCTGCTTGTGGTAGATCCCACCATGGAGCTGATTGCCAGTCTCATCATGAGGAATAACTGCCACCAGCTGCCTAGCCACTCAACCAGGCCCAGCCAAGTTGACACACAAACATAACTACCACAATTCCCTGATGTGTAACTTATGTTACTCATTGTGCACCCACAGGCTAAAGAGAAGGTGTGGTCGCATGTAGGCCTGAATGAAAAAACACCTGTCACAAGCAAAAGGACCTCAGCCCTCACAGGTAACTTCTCTTGAAGACTAGATATTTATGATTAAGGAGAGCTGTGTTCTAAAAGTCTTTTTTGCTATTATTGTTCTTATTCAGAGGAAGTTACACATTTGCAAAGCTCAAATATAGGGAAAGGTGTAGTTTGAATACATTTATTTGCCTGGCTTTGAGTTTTGAATAGTTTCAAACAAGAAAATCTGCAGGAACCCACTTAGTCAATGCAGCATATTTGCTTCAACTCTGCTTTTTAAAAGCTTATATCTGCTGATAAAGAGAAACCTGAATAGAGATACCATTACATGCAACCACTAAAATTACACTGATCATATGTGTCCACATTATAATATTTTGTGTCCTGTGGTGGCTTCTAGAGAGATCTGCTCAGAAGAACCAGCCCTCCTCTGTGAAAGATAAGATCAATAAGCTCAACAAGAAAAATGTGGAGAAGTCTTGGCACATTTCCTACAGAAAGATAGCAATGTAGGGGAGAAGGTTTTGTGCCAAGAAATCCCATAAAGCCAGGGGAGAATACAGATAGAAGAGACATTTCATGCACAGAGAGACTGAAAAGACAAGAACATGATAGTGTTGGAAATGAGAAGCAAGTCGCTGTGCATAGAAATGAAAGTTCAGTGTGCAAAGGAGAGAAAAACAGACTTGATTCAAAGGAAGTTGCTAGCAAAAGAAAACCCAAGGCAAAATGGGAACCAGCAATTGCAAAGGAATCTGTGTGGGACAAGTATGCAAATAGCAAGCAGTGTGTTGATGAAACTAGTGATGATGTATTCTGTAAAACGTACAGCTTATAGCACCACACACTCACAGTACATCTATGTGCCCTGATAATTTAAAGCCATGTCAAGGGCCATATCAAAAGATAGTGGAGGTGACTTTTTCAACAGTGACTGGGAACCTAGCTTCTCAGGTTATGTAGTGTTTTCATGGTCATGTTTTCTTGCCTGTGACATTTTTAGGCATTGTCTCTAATTATTCTACCAACTGGTGGACAAATTAGTAGTACTCACATGAATCAAATTTTTAAAGATCAGATGCAAAGGTTTTATTTTTAGCAAGATAGAGCACATCATTCCTAAAATCAATAATTAAATAGGATTTATCTATATCAACGTATATCTTAAAAAGTGTACCTACTCCATTATACATGACAAATTGGCTATTTTCCCACAAATGTTGTGAAAATTGAATAAGAAGTAGATTATTGAGTACTTTCTTCCTGAATTGGGAAGCTTTGTATATAAATTCAAGTAATTTTGTGGTTATGATCAGCCACAGTATCTATTGCAACTAATACTATCCAAACACCTCAGATATTTTTTGCAAGGAATTTAAGCTCTAATTCTTATTATATTTGAAAATAGTATATTGAAACCTAATATTGGAAAAGTCTAATTCTCTAAGAATTATAAATAATAATGATTGTCAAGAAAGTCTGTCACTCTAAGGATGTGCTTAGTAAGCTCAGGAGCTACTGAAAATCTGAAATTAGGTAAATTCTTTCACCAATAAAGAGGTACTCTCACTGTTGTTAATATTCAGAGTGATTATTGCTTCTTTTGTTTTGCTTTAATGTCATCATTTCTCTCTTCCATATAAATGGAAGTGGAAAAAAAAAAGCTCAAGTTAGTTAAGTTTTATCATTAAGTGATTGCTTTTTCAAAGGGTCTCACTGAGGTACTTGGGAAATTCTCTTTGGATGCCAGTCACCTCCACCTGTCACACCTCCCTAAAGTCAATGGGGGAACCACAGTTCCATGTGGTCCTGAAAGACTGACATGCTTAAGTCTATCACGAAGCTCATGTCTGCTCACAAGGATACCATTCTAAGGAAGTATTAGTTCTAAGAATTTGAGCATATGAAATATTTCTTCTTGACACTTTGATAGCTGCAACAGGATTAATTCTATTTCCCAAGTGTGTCAATGGAGATAAGGCCATTCCTCCCTCTTGACTTCCTGAAAACCTGCAATAGGAACCCATAATGGGAACAAGCAGAGTATGCTGGTAGCAGCAAGCATACAATGATGGAGGAGAGCTTCATCAACGAGGACAATAAAAGGACCAGAATAGATGGAGTGGGTATAGAGAAAGAGTGTGCGTTCAAAGAGACATAGGAAGCCAGAGAGACCCAGAGAAGTGCACCAGGCAAGCCCAGTGGCATGCTGAGATTCAGACCCTCAGAGAACAAGATCTGGTGCACAGGTATCACTAAGGTCGGTGTTGCCCAGTGTGGTAACTCATAGTGTCTCTCCCCCGTGGACCTTCTCCCATACCAGACCATACAGAATCCTTGGTAATATTTATTATCAATTTTTATTGGAGCTCTGGTGGCATAGTGCCTAAGGTATTTGACTGCTAACCAGAAGGCTGGCGGTTCAAACCCACCAGCCACTCCTCGGAGGAAGACTGGGAAATCTACTTCCCTAGAGATACTGCCTTGGAAACCCAAGGAAGGGTCACTATGGGTCGAATCCACTCGATTGCAGTGAGGTTTTTTTTTTTTTTTCCTTTAATATGTGATAAATGTAATGCAGAGCTGCCTAGACACCAGGACACGCAGTTGTTTCAGAGAAGCAGTTTATTAGTACTCCCGGGAGAGATTCTCATGCCTTAACGTCAAGGCCAGAGAAGTCGCACCCCTGGGCAGGGGGCATAGATTTTTATAGACACAGAGAGGACCTAATTGGGGACATCAAGGAAATGACAGGGTCCTCTAAGGAAATGGCAGGGTCCAATTAGCTGTTAGCATGGGTCTGCACTTAATTAGCATGAGGGGGCTTCACAGGAGGAAGTTTGTCATTGCATGGGATTTTCCAGCCTGGGCAGGTTCTGTCACTTCGGTTGTCTTATCAGGCTGTCTCATCAGGGCCTGGCACCTGGAGGAAGCTGCCAACTGACATAGTGGGGCTTGGGTTTGCTTCGGCCTAACAATAAATATAGTGGGGTATTGCTAAAATGTAATGTTTCTTAGGTTATATGAATAAAACCAAAAAACCAAACGTACTGCCGTAGAGTCGGATCTGACTCATAGCGACCCCTCCTTGGATTTCTGAGGCAATATCACTACGGAAGTAGTTGCCCAACCTTCCTTCCAAGGAGTCGCTGGTGGGTTTGAACCACCAGCCTTCTGGTTAGCAGTCAAATGCCTTGGTCACTATGCCACCAGAGCTCCTAGTTATATGAATACCAGCAACAAAATGGTTTTGTAAACTATTTCTACATTGAATTACAACATCATTAGTAACTGAGTGAAAGTCTCTTCTGATTTTTTCTCCTTCTTTTTCATTAATTACTTCTTCATTCTCAAAAAAGTTATTGACATAGGTTCATGAATACTACTTACCACAATATTGTAGCTAAAACACCAGAAAATTTGACAAAATCAGTAACTATGAAAACACCAGCAGCAACGAAAACAGCAGCAGGTGCTTATAGCTGTGCAGACAAAATCAAGTGATTAAAAGTGTCGTAAATCTTCACCCAAATCCTAATAAAAAAAAAAAATAAATAAATAATAAAAGTGTCATTGTAATTGAGTAATAATAACAACAACTCTAACCAGAATGCATTCAAAACCAAACCCACTGCCATTGAGTCAATTCTGACTCAGAGCAACTGCCACTGGGTTTCAAAGGTGGTAAATCTTTAGGGAAGTAGGTTGCCCCATCCTCCTTCTGTGGAGTGGCTGGTGGGTTTGAACTGCCAATCTCTGGTTAGCATTCAAATACCTTAGGCACTGCACCACTGAAGCTCCATTCAAAAAGTATATTAGCATAAAGTTTTAGCCTTGTAGTTATATTGATACATGAAAACTGAGCTTATGCAAAATGTTCTTGTTGTTATAATTAAATGTGTTCTTGTTGTTATGTGCCTTCGAGTTGGCCCCGACTCATAACGTCCCCTCCTTGGGTTTCCGAGGTGGTATCACTACGAAAGTAGATTGCCCAACAAAATGTAGGGATATTTTTATAAAAAATAATAAATTTTAGCAGAAACATTGCACAAAATTTTATAGACAGTCATTTTGGAGTCACCTCCTTTGACAATGTCACCTGGTGTGGTTTATACCCCATACCTACACCACTCTAGTGATACCACTGGCCTGTGTAGGATGTGGCTTTTTGTTTCAGCCTTTTACAGCTAATGAACTCTCCAGCAAGCATTTCATTGAGCCTGCTAACCAGAAGGCTGGCGGTTCAAACCCACCAGCCACTCCTCGGAAGGAAGGTTGGGCAATCCTACTTCCGTAGTGATACTGCCTCGGAAACCCAAGGAGGGGTCGCTATGAGTCGGGGCCGACTCGACGGCACATAACAACAACAACAACAACAATGGCCTGTGGGAGACATCACACCATATTGATGCTTTTTGTACTCCTAAGTCAATCACTCTTTTTTTTTCTTCCTTTTTTGTTTTTAACCTGATGGGATGAAGGCCACCAAAGAACTCTTTTATGACTACTTTCCTTATTTTTCAGCTTACTTATGGTGTGAGAAGTGAGTGTCTATGTCAAATGGGAAAATCCAGTTCCCAGAGTTATGTGTTATCTGATTTTTCATAAATAGTAACACCTGCCAGAGTGCCTCCTACAAAATAAGTGCTCAGGAAATATGTTGAATCAATGTGAGTTTCAGAAAGAAAAGTTTCTGTCTGCTTGTCTTCCTTGGTATCTTCACTATATGCAAGTATAAAAGCTTAATAAATGAACAAACGTGGAAGTGAGCAGGCTCATGGTAAGCACATTTTCACAACTGCAGTCATGAAAAAGTTGAAGCATACTGGGAGAAATGCTCTCTGGTAATTGCACATTTGAGAAGTCATGCTGATGTAGACAAGAGTTTAATGCTTAAGATGAAAGGTGAAAAGTGGAGGATTTTAATAGTTGTAGAATACACACTTACCCAATTTTACCAGGTGTTTTATTTCCAGCCAGGAAAAATTCATCCCTGTGACCTAAATGTGTCTTAAATAAAGCCTAAAATATTTCAGACAATAATATATAATATCAAAAATTTTAATGATGTGAAGAAATTTTATGTTTTTCTGTTTTCCTCTCTAATGAAAGTAATGGGCTATATAGGTGGTGTTTTTATTTTTTATTTTTTTTAACAGATCAAACAATTTCTCACATTATTAAATAAAGTGGTCTCAAGTTTAGAAGTGTGATCTGTTTGAATTATACTGTGTTTGGAGACTTTCAACTATTTTTACGTTTCCAAAAGCAACCCCGAAGATGGTAGGAACAGTAGTTTAGTGGTCCTGAAATTCTTTCTCAAAGATGTTAGGTATCACCTTCATGAATCACAGATAATAATATTCAAGGAAAACTTAGATTCCTGAATCACTAGGAATAAAACATATGGCTCACTGCATATTATTATTACATGAGCGAATTTCTGTTATGAGGCCCAGGGCTAGGTGCTATAAAGTGGTCTGACTGCTTAACGAATGACTCCCTCTCCCTTTCACCTTCTAGAGGACGTCCCAGCTCCTTCTGCCCCATTTGATCATCGAATTGTGACAGTCAAACAAGCAGAAGTCAACAGTTTTTATACCGTGAGCAGGAAAGAAATTTTGGGAGCGTAAGTAATGCCCAATCTTAATAAAAAGAGAGCTTTTGAAGAGACGGATTCTTAAGGACATCATAAATATTTGCCAGTATTGACCTGAGAACCAGATACAGCACAAACAAACATTTGAGACATTTTAGCCATTTCTTAAAATTGTCACAGATGCCAGAAAGGTTGATGTGGTGACAGTGACTGAATTCCAAATTTATTATCTGCTTTCTTCCCATGTTGTAATGTCTGAAAATGAGAGCAGCCCAATGAGTCACCAGAAGATTTAGAAGTTGTCTGGTGACTTGGTTTAAACACCAAGGAATAAAACATGGAAATGAGTGGATACTGTATATTTCTTAAGCATATCTATATCTTTTTATCATTGTTGCTTGTTTTCCATATATATTATTACTATATTACTTAATATTATACATTTCAAATTGATTGCTTTCATCATTGAAGAACTTGTGGGCATCTAAATTAAAGTCCATTAGGGACTGAATTTATTTCTGGGGATGCTCTTTCCTCCTCTTCTTCAGACACAGTAACCTATGATATTTCTTCACTTAAAACCCCAATTATGTTTGCTACCATCAGCATTTCTATGTAAAATAAGAAAAGCAGAGCAGAAAACATATATAAATATTTCGAAAATTTAATGAGTAATGCAAAGAAAATATGCAACTATAGTACATGGTTTTGCAATTAGTCATTAGCTGACATTTATAAAGTCCCTTTCCTCTCTTTCTATTTCTTATTCTTTTGACCTTCATCATGTGGCACCATCTGAATAAGTTCATCTTCAGCAGCTGATGGGAGGGACTCCCCATGATACTACGTGGATGGGCTGAGGGAAAAGCGGGGTTCAGAAGTAGGGAAAAATGCCATCAGGTCTGAGCATTACTTGGGTAGTTTGTTTGGCTCTCCAGGGATTTTTGTGACAAGACTGGAACTAATTCTCTAGACCACAAAACAAAACAAAACAATACTGTCATCAAGTCTATACTGACTCATAGTGACCCCATAAGATAGAGTAAAACTGCCTCATAGGGTTTCCTAGGCTGTAATCTTTATGCAAGCAGATAGCCACATCTTTCTCCCATGGAGTGGTTGATGAGTTCCAACCACTGACCTTTCAATTAGTAACTGTGCACTTGTCCACTGTGTCACCAGTTATTTACAGACAAGGGCATGACTTTGTAACAGTCCCTAAGGTTTATGCTGTCCCTCTGGTCAAGGTTTGTCAAAGCCTTCTTAAGAACGTTGTTCTGTTAGTGAGGACCCCATTGATCTTTTCAGCTGCATGGTCCGAAAAAGGGGCAAATCACGTTGTACTGAACTTGAGAACAGCAATCTTCTGTTCTGGCTCCACTCAAAACTGGCAGCCATAACGTATTCAGTAAATAAGTTTTTGTTGTTAGCTGAGGTAGAGTCAGCTCCTGACTCATGGTGACCTCATGCACCATAGAACAAAATACGGTCCAGTCCTGGGCCTTCCAGGTTTTGAGTGCATTTCTGTATGTGAGTATATATGTAAGAATCTGTCTTACAAAGTATGTATAGATTTAAAGCCAATCAATACTGTCAAAAATCTCATAGGTGACTATATATATATATATATATATATATATATATATATATATATATATATATTTTACAAATACGAAAATGACAATCTATTTTTTCAATTATATTTACCTGTCTTCAATATTGTTATACCTCTTATTTATATTAATTTCCCAAAAATAATTTAATGTACCATATGCTTGGAAGTCACTTGGTAGTACAAACAGTTAACATGTTTGGCTGCTAACAGAAAAGTTGGAGGGTCTAGTCCACCCAGAGGTGCTTTGGAAGAAAGGCCTGGTGATTTACTTCCAAGAAAACAGCCACTGAAATCCTATGGAGCACAGTTCTACTCTGATGCACATGGGGTCACTGTGATTTGGAGTCAACACCACTGCAACTTCTTTATAGCTGGTTCTTATGCTTGCAAAACCATGCTTATTACATTCATATTTATTCAGAAGACTAGATATTGATACAGGTGGTTCTCAAATCACTAGAGGAACTTGATAAAAATGCAGGCTCTGGGGACTTACTCTGGAGTCCTGCTCTAGTAGGTCAGGGGTAGGGCCCAGAAATCTGCATTCTTAATAAGCCTAGGTGTTTCTGATACAAGTGACCCAAGGGCTCTTTCTGGATGGCATTTGGCAACATCTCATGCTCACATTCTTCTTTTTCTTTCCAGGGGACGTTTTGGCCAGGTTCACAAGTGTGAAGAGAAAGTCACTGGTCTGAAACTGGCAGCTAAAATCATTAAGACCAGAGGCCCTAAAGACAAGGTGAGGATGGTGTGGTGTGGGTTTCTCCCTTCTTGTCCAGACTTCATCACACTGAAAGCTCTTTCCTTCTTTGCAGGAAGAAGTTAAGCATGAAATTAGCATCATGAACCAGCTGGACCACGTAAATCTCATTCAGCTCTATGATGCCTTTGAGTCTAAGAATGACATGATCCTGGTCATGGAATAGTATGTGTCCCTTCCTTACCTTTCTTGTATCCTCCCCGTCTTATTCTCCCTTTTCAAGCTCAGCACACCTCCAAGGGCCTCATCCACAGCTGTTTCATTCTACCTGAGGACTGTCTGGAACCACATTTGGTGCCTTATTGATTCTAACCTGTGTGAATTAGATAATCTCACCAACTTCAGGAAGGAAATTATTTATGAATATGCATTTCCACTTGTAATTTTATTTATTAGAGGTAACATGGAAAAGTAGATTTAGCTTTGTATCTAAGCTATATTAGCCTTAAATATTAAAATATTAAAATTAATCTTAAATATTTTTCTGGATGACTCAGAGGAAAGCTATTTCTGAACTTTCAACCTAATAACAAATAAGAAATTTAAAGCAAATGCTGACAATTAGGGCTAAGAAGTTTCAATTTAAAGCCATCTTTATTTTAAAAAAATGTATAACTGGTTAGTCAGTTATAAGAATGAGTAGTTCTAACTAAAGTAGAATCAATATTGTGCTTTTATTCATTTTTTTTCTTTCCATTTTTGGTTTTATTTATTATTGTGCAATAAGCAATTTTGGATAAAAAAGTATCTAGCATTGGCCTCCTATAAGCATTTTATCCCTGGAATTAATCTGATGACTTAAAGGGTTGAGATTCAGCTAGCCTTCACTGTGTTTGGAATTTCCCTTCACTGTGTTACTGCAGTTCTCTTATCTTCAACATACATAGAGAGTGGCAGAAGTGGACTACCTTAAAAGTGACAGCAACTAGATGAAGTCTCATTTGTGAAACTGAAGGAATATAAGATAAAGACCCTCACTATCAGAATCCTCTAAAGAGGCAGTAAAGAAGGTAGAAAGAGAATAACATGTGCACACCTTTGGAAGAGGAGCTTAAACACCATGTTGTAACAAGAAAGTCAGGTGATTACTGAGAAATATGACTAAGGTCTTCCCACCTCTCCCCACTTCAGTGTTGATGGAGGGGAGCTGTTTGACCGAATCATTGATGAAAACTACAATCTGACTGAGCTTGATGCCATCCTGTTCATTAAGCAGATCTGCGAGGGAATTAGGCACATGCATCAGATGTACATCCTCCATTTGGACCTGAAGGTGAGGTGTGCTCTGTTCCTCACCTCCCCAGTCCCTCTCCTCACATTGGTCAGTGAGCCATCAGACACTATGTACCAGCTTGGGACATTGGTACTGTCATTAGCTACATATCCAGGAAGTAGCAAACATTTGGATTCTTATCCTCATTTCCTCTCAACTTCTGTTACTCCTAGCATTTGCATGTCCCTATCTCTAAGGTGGCGCAGTGCCTACGGTATCTGACTGCTAACCAGGAGGTTGGTGGTTCAAACCTACCAGCTACTCTGTGGAAGGAAGATGGGGCAATCTATTTCCATAAAGATTTGACACCTCAGAAACCCAAGGGGGCTTGCTATGAGTTGGAAATGACTTGATGGCAGTGAGGGTTTTTTTTTTTTTTTTTTTTTTTTCTCTAAGGGAGGAGCTCCAATGAGGTAGTGGATAAAGCATTTGGTTGTTAACCAAAAGGTCAGTGGTTTGAACCCACCAGCCGTTCTGCAATATAACAATGAGGCAGTCTGCCTCTGTAAAGATTTACAGCCTTGGAAACCCTCTGGGGCAGTTCTGCTCTGTCCTATAGGGTTGCTATGAGTCGGAATCGACTCAATGGCAATGGGCTTGGTTTTGATTTGGATTTCTTAAGAGCTACTATTCAGATTGTTATAATGTGCCTGTGTTAAGGGAATCTACATGGGGGATGGTTTCCCTAAAAGTTTAGAACAACAGTGACAAAAGGAGCCCTGATGGTACAATGGTTAAGTGCTTGACTAACTGAAAGGTTGATGGTTCAAACCTACCTGGAGGCTCTGCAGGAGAAGGAGCTGGTGATCTGCTCCTGTAAGGAGTCCAACTTAGAAAATCCTATGAGGGAAGTTCTCTTTTGTGTATGAGGTTGCTATGAGTCAAAAGTGACTTGATGGCACCTAACAACAGCAACAACTGGCCAAACATTCCAGCTCACCAAGAATTCCCATCATTCTCCCAAAATCTTTCAGAAAGCTCCCTTGGAAGAAAAGCCAAAAACTAAACTAGTTGCCATGGAGTTGATTCTGACTAATGGTGACCCCATATGTGTCATAACAGAACTGTGCTCTGTAAGGTTTTCAATTGCTGATTTTTTGGCAAAAGATTGCCAGGCCTTTCTTTTGAGGAAGCTCTGAGTGAATTCAAACTGACAGTTGACTTTCAGTTAACAGCAGAATGCATTAATCATTTGCACCACCCAGGGATTCCTTGGAAGAAAAAGGACCAAACACTGTTTAGTAGGGCTACTATTTACATTTTTCCCCTCACCCCCAAAACCACCAAGTAGAGGGTAAAGTCTCACCCAAGTCAAACTCCAAGGGAGCACTAAGTCAGAGGTTCTAGCCTTTAAGAGCAGGCTCAACAGAAGTTTGGAATCATCCAGAATGAAGAATGAGAAGGGACGAAAGCCTTCCTTTGAAGGCTTTCCCAACTGAGAAAGAGCAAAGGGGAAAAAACCTAGTGGACAGGAGCATTGGCATAATATTGCATATTCAGAGATGCTGTTTAAATGAGTCAGGTTGTCTCTCAGAACTCATAAATCTCAGGAAAAATGTTCTTCCAAGAAGGGAAAACTTATATTTAATAATTCTAGGAGGCAGATGTCAAGTAGAAATGACTGCCATCAGTCCTCCTGGAGAGCACTGGGCAGCCTCCCTTCCCTCCTTCCTCACACATTATGGTGACTGCAGACCAGAGAGAGGGACGGGCAGGGTAATGCAAGGTTGGCAGGGGCCCCACAGCCTCACCCACCACATAATGAAAGGAGAAAATATCCATACAGACAAGCCAGCTGTGACGTGAAAGGCCTGATGTGTTTTTCTGAGCATCGTTTTATTTTTAGTTGTGGTTCAAGGACAATTTGAGTGAACGATGGTTGTTTTCATTGCTAATGTGTCTCTTTCTCCTGCAGCCTGAGAATATACTGTGTGTGAATCGAGATGCTAAACAAATAAAAATTATTGATTTTGGATTGGCCAGAAGGTATGTCTATTTGAACACTAGCATAGGAATGGAGTTAAGGCAGATGGATACTCTTTCTTTGAGAAGATAAATCTTATATAGCCCTTGTATCCATACCATGAATTAGAATTAATTTAGCAAAAAGTATGTTCAGTCTTACATTTTGGAATTTGAAAGTTTAAAGCTTTCTATAGTATGTGCAAGTAAATACTATGAAAATTTAATCTAATATGGTAAAATCATTAAACTAGGAGCCATTAATTTGGAATTTATGAGAGTTTGTATTAATCTTTTATATTTGTTCCATCTGTACTGAGATTTATATTTTAAAAGTTATTAGTGTAAACAAGAATGCAAAAGGTTCGAGCACATATAAGCTTCTTCAGGGAACGAAACGCTTTTGGACCATTAATGAGGCATATGGGATGTATGTTGTAAGTTACTACAGCATTTATTTATTCCTTAATACAGACTTTTTTGAGCCATCTCCATAGCAGTGACTGTATCAGATTTCCTTTGAACGTCTTCTATAACTCAGATGTTCTAATTATTCTGACTGCCTTTTCCAATAACTGTTTCAGATTGTTAAGGTTTTACACTTTAAGACTCTTAAAACCCCTGGAACAAGTTTTTGACACTGTCCTTTTAAATATGTAATTTCCTTTAAAGTCTATTTATTTTAAGTTCACAATATAGCCAAATTTAATTTGTTTTATAGAGTATATCTTTTCAATTTTCAAGATGTTTGATATTCTTCCACCTTTTCTCTTAAATTTCAGATATAAACAAAGAGAGAAGCTGAGGGTGAACTTTGGCACCCCGGAATTCCTTGCCCCTGAAGTTGTGAACTATGACTTTGTCTCCTTCCCTACTGATATGTGGAGTGTAGGAGTCATCACCTACATGTTGTAAGAGAGCACCGTCTCCATCTGACCTTTGTTTTCAAATCCATGGGTCTCCTGTGAGGGTTGGCCATTTTGAATAAAATCCCAAATTAAGGTCTTTTAAAAATAAACTCACTCCTTATTTATTGACCTGGTTATGTTCCAAGGACCAAGTTTTTATGGGAAAATTGGCATTATGTGAAAATGGTAGATAACTACATCATTAAATAACTGCCAAATTACATCATTTCATAACTGCCAAACCACTGAGAATTATGGCCTCGCCAAGTTGACACACACACACACACACACACACCCCATAGTCAGTTTTCACTTGTCTTGCACTTCACACATCAGTATTTGTTACTACCAGATATCCATTGTTAATGCACAAAATAGTTGTAAATTAGATTTTTTAACTATTGTGATAAATGCAAAAATGATAGGATAATGAGGTAGTCAATAAGTGAAGAGTAGGTGTAAGTAACATTGTGGAAACAGCTAAAGTGCCTATCAACAGATGAAAAGATAAGCAAAATGTGGCTTATTTATGGAATATTATTCAGCCATAAAGAGAAATGTAGTCCTGATATATGCTTCCAAGACCAAATCCATTGCCAAGTTGATTCAGACTCCTAATGACCCTACAAGACAGAGCAGAACTGCCCCATAGGGTTTCCAAGGCTGAAATCTTGGCAGAAACAAACTGCCACATCTTTCTCCCACAGAGCAGGTGGTGGGTTTGAACTACTGACCTTTCAGTTAGCAGCCAAGCACTTTTACTACTGTGCCATCAGGACTCCTTGTACATGCTACAACACAGTGAATTTTGAAAACATTAAGCTGAATGAAATAAATCAGACTCAAAAGGGCAAATGGTGTGTGATCCTACTTACGTGAAATATCCAGAATAAGCAAATGCATAGAGACCAAAGTTCATTAGTGGTTACCAGGGCCTAGGGGGAGGGGAAATGGGAGCTATTGCTTAAGAAGGTACAGTTTCTATTTTCCAGTTGCTGTTGAGTGGACCCTGACTCATGGCAACCCCATGTGTGTCAGAGTAGAACTGTGCTCCCAAGGGTTTTCAATGACTGTCACCTTCTGGAAGGAGATTGAGAGGTCTCCCCCCCACCACCACCACCAATTGCCTCTGGGTGGACTTGAACCTCTAATCTTTTGGTTAATAATAATAAAAAAACCTCACTGTAGTCAAGTTGATTAGACTCCTAGTGATCCCCCGTCCTTGGGCTTCTGAGGAGGTATCTCTATGGAAATAGATTGCCCAGTGTTCCTTCTGGGGAGTGTCTGGTGGGTTTGAACCACCAGCCCTCTGGTTAGCAGTCAAATGCCTTAGGCACTACACCACCAGAACTGTTTCTACCACCCAGGGACTTAGAGTTTCTATTTCCCATAAAACTCATTGCCATTGAGTCAATTCAGAGTCATTGTGACTCTGTAGGACAGAGTAGAACTACCTCATAAGGTTTCCAAGGCTGTAATCTTTACAGAAGTAGACTTCTCAGTTAGCAGCCAAGTGCTTTAACCACTATGCCACCAGGGCTCCTTTAGTTTCTGTTTAGGGTAATAAAAAATATTTGGAAATGGATAGTGGTGATGGCAACAGCATGGTGAATGTAATTAATGTCACTGAATTATATACTAAAAAGTGGTTAAAATGGCAAATGTTTCATTATAATTATTTTACCACATTATTATTTTTTTTTTTAAGTAAGATTTTACCATATTTGGCTACATTCTAAAGTCTCTGAGTCCCTGTAGGCACAAGGAAAGTGAATTATGTTCCCTGGATTTTAAATCTTAGGGCAATACCTAATGTCAAGCAAACAAACAAACAAACAAACAAACAACTCACTGCCATCAAGTTGATTCCCATGCATAGTGGTCTCCATTAGATTTCCAAGGCTGTAAATCTTTCTGGAAGCAGACTGCCTCATCTTTCTTCCGCGGAGCGGTTGGTGGGTTTGAACCACTGACATTTTGGTTAGCAGCCAAATGTCTTAACCACTACACCACGAGTGTCCTTAAAAGCCCTAAAAGCAGTCTTTAAAAAGAAAACTTTGTCCGGATCACCTAAGCAAATGCTGCCAGCCTCCCATTCCAAGGGGATGTGCCTGGATTTGCCATCTGTGTTTGACAGCACTTCACTTATAGGAAAAAATGGTGATCTTCCTTCAGGCTCAGCTTCTTATATGACTGCTGCCCTCATTGATTTGGAGCTAGGGTAGGGGAGTAAGCATTTTCTTGATTGCAATAATGTATTATAAAAATATGCTTATTTATTGGATGGTTTTCCTTCTATTGCTTTTAAACAATAGAACTAGAAACACAGCTTATCTTCTTCCTGGGGTTGAAAATTGTCTAAAACACTCACCCTGGCTCCTCTGTCTTCCAGACTTAGTGGCCTGTCTCCTTTCCTGGGTGATAATGATGCAGAGACACTGAGCAACATCCTGGCCTGTCGGTGGGACCTGGAGGATGAAGAATTTCGGGATGTCTCAGAGGAGGCCCAGGAGTTCATCTCTAAGCTCCTGATTAAGGAGAAAAGGTAAGCCCAGTTCAGTCTGTGCTCATGAAAAAGCAGGATAATCAGGAAGCAGTTACCACCAAGGGTGTTTAGAGTCTGGTCAGGGAACCCCCATTTCCCTATGATATTCAGTTCAGAGTTGTAGACAGAATGAATATGATGCTCCTCACTCCAGTTCCTGAGATTAGGACTGCTTTGTTCATTAGGCTTTGAAAGGGGCCTTCAAAAAGCTTCTCTCCCTCTGCCTTTTGATATGAGGCTCCCCCAGTCAAGACCTCTCTCAGCTTCAGTTTTCTCACCAAGAAAATGAAGGGTTTTCTATGGTCCTCTTTACCCCTACAAAGTGTACACATATTCTGTGTAACTGCACTTAGCAACTATTTCATTTGAGAGTTTACTATGTACCAGACTGTGCCATGTGTTTTATAGACATTATCTCTTTTAATCATTAATAATAATGATCGATTGCCATTAACATTTTATGGATGAAACATAGAGATGCTAAATAATATACCTATGATCATATAGCTAGTAAGTGGCAGAAATGATGATCAAACACAAAGTTCCCTTCCCCCGAAGTTCATACCCATAAGTATTACGTGACACATTGCCTTCTAATTTCCGTCACACTAAAGCCACATTAATTAACAATTCAGTGGATGAAAAACAGTGATATTGACATAGAGGGGCTTGCTTTTAGAATTATAGAGGAGATAGCACATTGATTTGCCTGCCAAATACACTGTTTTAGGCAGTTTTATTTAAGATCTTCAGGATCAACAATATGAGTTTTTGCTTTATTGTCTTTATGGCTTTTAAGTCATTAATAAACATGACCACACCAATAAATAAGGGAGTGCATGGGTGTCAGAGGACGCAGCATGTGTAATCGTCTGGCCAAGTACCTGGTCCTCAGAAGCTTCATCCCTTCCACCATGCAATTGATCATTTACTATATGCCAGGAGACACATCTGGGAGATAATTTACAATGTAATAGAAGAGAGAGTTTTTTTTTTTTTTTTTTTTTTTTAAAAAAAAGGTATAATGCTGTGTGTTTAATGCAAAGATAGAATATATTGACAAAGGCTAGAACTGAGTTCTAAAGGGTGAGGAGAACCTAGTCAGGCTGAAAGAGGCGGAATTAACAGGTACTTGTATTCTCTATCCTTAAAGGAAAGGTACACCAACAATAATATTACCATTGCTAATATGACTTGCACATTACTGTAGCCCAGGCAAAAAAACCCTGGTAATGCAGAGTGGTTAAGTGCTTAGCTGCTAACTGAAAGGATGACAGTTCAAACTCATCAGCACTCCATGGGAAAAAGATGTAGCAGTCTGCTTCCATAAAGATTACAGCCTTGGAAACCCTATGGGATAGGTCTGTCTACTCTGTCCTATAGGGTCACTATAAATCAGAGTTGACTCATCAGTGATGGGTTTTATGGGTAGCCAAGGCAGTGAACAGGGAGCTCTGGTAGCATAGTGGCTAAGACACTTGCCTGCTAACCAGACGGCTGGCGGTTCAAACCCACCAGCCACTCCTCGGAAGGAAGGTTGGGCAATCCTACTTCGGTAGTGATACTGCCTCGGAAACCCAAGGAGGGGTCGCTATGAGTCGGGTTTGACTCGACGGCACATAACAACAACAACAACAACAAGGCAGTGAACAGATAGAAAATGTCAACTTTATATCTTTGGAAGATAGGTCCACATTTACTGAGAACCCTTTATGGATTTTGTGTATCAATCCTTCAGATATCCTGTTATGCATGGTTAATATGTTTGTTTTACAGATGAGAAAACAGCCTGAGTTTAGTGAGGCAGTCCCACAGCTAGCTCAGAGCAAACTCAGACCCTGCCATTCCTCTAGTCTGAGAGTGTCCTTAGTTTCCACAGAAGCATCAAATACACACTGGGGTGAAGTGACTTCTCACCAAGTATTGGAACTGATACTTGAAAGAATCTAAGACCAGAGACAAATATCATCATAATGGAATAAATTTCTGGGATACAAAAATAAACTTGACATATTCATGAAATTTTAATGATTTTATTAAATAATATTTTTTTTTGCTTCTTCAAAAAATTGAGGAATATACCATGTTTATTGATTGAAGAAATAAATATTGTAAAGATATCAATTAAGCCCACATTGATTTATAGAGTCAACACAATTTCAATCAAAATCCCAACAGGACGTTTAGAAACTGGGGCAAAATGACTTTGAAATTTATGCAGAAATACAAATGAATATGTTCTACCTGATACCAAGATTCCTTTTTATTGTTTTTAAATTTGCTACTGTTCCTCGTAGGGAGCTCTGGTAGCAAAGTGCCTAAGGCACTTGACTGCTAACCAGAAAGCTGGCGGTTCAAACCCACCAGCCACTCCTCAGAAGGAAGATAGGGCAATCTACTATTCGTAGTGATACTGCCTCGGCGACCCAAGGAGGGGTCGCTATGAGTCGAGTCCGACTCGACGGCACATAACAACAACAATAGCAACTATTCCCCTTATTTTTGTTACTCATTTTAAAAAATAAATTTTTATTGTGATTTGGGTGAAAGTTTATAGAGCAAATTGGTTTTCCATTCAGCAATCCATACACATTATGTTTGTGATATTAACTGCAATCCCCAAAATGCAACAGCACTCTTCACACTTCCTCCCCCATGCCTTCCACTTCCCTCCATCCTTCTTCCCATCCCCTCCCACCTTTCTAGTTCTATCCCTGGGCAAATGCTGCCTTCTCATATGGTTGATTGTTCTAATGAGTGCATACCCTCCTGGTATCTCTGTCCACTTTATAGGCCTATCTAGCATTTGGCTGAAAGTTGAGCCAGGGGGTTGAGTTCAGTTCTTGAGTTCAGTTCAGTTCACTCCTTTAAGAGTGTTTAAGGACCATAATTTCAGGGGTTCTGCCAGTCTTTATCAGACAGTAAGCCTCATCTTTTTTATGATTTTCAGGTTTTTTCCACATTTTTCTCCTACTTTGATCCTTTTCAGCATGGTCAGCAGTGCTAGCCAGGCACCATCTAGTTCTTCTGGACTCAGGGTCATGGAGTCTGGGGTTCACGTGGTCCACTAGTCCTTTGGAATAAGTGTTTCTCTACATCTTTGATTTTCTTCATGCTTTTTTGCTTCAGAAGAGGAGAGACCAATAGTTTGTTGTTAACTTTTAAATAGTCAGTTTTCAAAAGTTTGACATGATAGTGGAGAAATAATAATTTTTTTTAGCAAAATTAGCAGTTAGAATGCTTCTGAGAGTTCAATGCTGAAAATTTATGATACTAAACACAATCTCATTTCAACTGAGATTGGTTGAGGATCAATTTTTTTTTTTTTTTTTTTAATTCTCTCTGCCCATATAAAATCCAACCAATGGTGGTGTTGTCACTAGGTTATTAGGATTTCTTTCTCCTCTAACCCAAGTTGACTAAAGGAAAGACTTATCCCTCTTCAACTTTTGTACTTAAATTACTTGGTATCTTATGAAGCAGTCCTTCAAAATGAAGTTTCAGACACTTACTTTATTGATATTTGTTTAGAATCAAATGTCAGATTGTTACACTGACTTACAGTTTTTTATTTTGAATTATTTGGCTTAATATGATAAATATTAGCATGCCAGACAAGCTTAAGAATTTTAGAGTTAGAATAAAATATAGTCTTTATTAAGCTACCTTAAAAGATTTTGTATTTGGGGCACCAGAGGACCAACATTCAGGTTGAGGAAATGCAGGACAAACAGGGGTGCATAAATATGAGGGGTACAGGGGGAGGGTTCCAGGCTAGGAAGGGGAGGAGACTGGGTTAGGGTTGGACATGGTAAATGGGGAGTGAAACTAAACATGACATTGAATGTAAAACAAGCTCTTAAAATTAAAAAAAAAAAAAAGATTTTGTATTAAAAAAAATTTCATGTAAAATTTTGTTGCCTCCAAAAGGATATGGTTTCTGCCTAAAGATATCCAGCTAATGTACTCTGGCTTAATAGTTACATCCACTCTCTATCTATTACCCTACTTATTTAACTATCCAAAAGTTCTTGATTCAAAAGTTCTTAATATATACCACTCAAAGTTTTAACACATACATTGATTTTGCAATCATCAAGAATCATTGTACCATTTTGTTTTTGCAATGATAAATATACATTTATTCTTCAGCTGACCAATAAAAGAACAATTTATGAAGCTCAGTGGTTACACCAAGAATGATTATTTATATTTGAAAGCAGACGTTCATAATTAATAAAATGTTTGAGTTACATTGAATTCTGCATTCAGCTACCTGGTCTTCCAAAGTCAAAGGGCTCACTTGGTGTGTCCCACTAATAATCTTCTGATTTTTCCTTTAGTTGGAGAATAAGTGCAAGTGAAGCTCTGAAGCACCCTTGGTTGTCAGACAGCAAACTACATTCCAGGCTCAGTGCACAGGTGACCACATCTTGTTAATTTTCCTCTTCTTGTCAAGTTGGCCTTGGTCTTTTGGTGACTATGTGCTAGATGCATAGGTATCTTAGATGAAGTTCTTTCTATTCCTTTTCTCACAGCCTTCAAATATTGTGCTAGTGTTGAATTGCTTAAAATGCATTTTCAGAGCATTTTATGTTTCTTAAGGAAATAAATGCTTATTATGTTATTCAGTAGAGTATTATTTATAGCATAATTGTTTATTAACTTTATTATTAAATCATTATATCCATTCTGGAATGAATTACATCATTGTGCTGCACACACACACATACACAGCCTCGGATGTATGAGTGTGTAAAGTTTCAGAGAATATGTATTAATATACTTACACTTGCTTACAATGGAATTCTGAATTCTATGCTTATCTGGTTTAGTCTGCTTGGGCACCAAAATTTCAACTCTCTAATTCAGCTTGGACCTTCATACCACTAAATCTCTGTCCACTCCCATTGTTTGAACTATCATTTATTTTCTGACTTCCTTATCTGTCTCTTTGAAACTGATTTATTTCCTAAGCTTTAGATTAATATATCCAACTTTGTACTAGACATTTTCCTTTGGACCTTCTCAGTCCCAAACCAAATTCATCTCTTCCACTGTACCTCATCCTAAACCATTGTTTCTCAGAGAACTCTCTGGGAGCCTAAATCAGCCCCAGGGCAGCTTCTTTGTCTCATCCCTCTCCCTCAGCACTTCTCCCATCTCATATGTAATTTATCTTCAAGTTCTGCTCATTATGGCCCATAATTACCTTTGTTTTTTTGGTATCTGTCCAATCCTCTCCCTCCCCATGGTATTCCTGAGTCAAAATATCCCCGGAAGTGAATTACTATAGTCTATCTGGTTTCTCCTGTCTATCTCCATCCAAATAATTGTGGATTGTATTAATAACATGGAAACGTGTAACATTTAAGTAATTTTATTAAATATTTAGGGTAGTCTACTGAGCAGGTTACATGTGGAGGTGATCAGCAGTTGATGCTTCTTGCCTTTCCTCATGCCTCCTTGGGGCAGATCTGATGTGAGCTTAAGCTAAGAGAGTTGCCTTTATGTCTCTAGCCTAGTAAGTGTTCAAGATATTCTGACTTCTTCCACCTTTGCTCCCCATCCTCCCCATCTCCCAGCGTTTTGGAGTGGAACTTTTTCACTGACCAACAAACCTCAGAATGACTATGCTCACTCAGGTACTCGCTTTTTCCACATCCAGTTTTTATTGAAATTAACTTTAATTCTAAATTTAGCAGCAGTGCTCTTATTTGTATGCTGAATATACCTTCTGTAATAATTGGTACTGATGTCAATAAAAATAGACTTATTACCTAGTCGGTACCTCATCCAGACTACATAAACTGCTTATTAGGGTTACCAACCTATTTTGAGCCAATTTTCCACCAATGTATTTTTATGCAAGCTTATTGGTATCCAAATACACTTTGACGTGGTAGGACAATACAGAAACCATAGCAGATAATTAATGACATTATAAATTTTAAAAAAGTTTAAAAATATTTTTAAAACCATGTAACATCAATAACAAAAATCACCTTTTCCCTTATTCCATCCAAATGCTGGTACTTGAGGTGAACAGATAGTCAAGAACAGTGAGGATTTTTACTTTTTTTGAAAAAAAAAAAATTCTGTTCTATAAATCTAATTAGTTACTATTAAAGTTATAATTATATAGTAGCCCTGGTAGCACAATAGTTAAGTGCTTGGTGGTTAACCTAAAGGCAGTGGTTTGAACCCACCAGCTACTGTGCAGGAGACAGTCAGCTTCTGTAAAGATTACAGCCTTGGAAACCCTATAAGGCAGTTCTACTCTGCTCTACAGGGTCACTATGTGTCAGAATCGATTAGATGGCAAAGGGTTTGGTATATGCCATGCACTAGTCTAATTTCTCTACATAAATTAATGCATTTAATCCTCATACTAGTCCTAAGAAATATGCACTGTTGCTATTTCATTACACAGATGAGGAAACTGAGAATGAGTGACAGTGTATTTGCCCAGTGACAGCCAGTATGTGGCCCAGGCAGGCTGGCTCTAGAACCTAGAGCAGAGCCTCACAATGCCCACCCCAATGATTGGATGCTGGGCAAAGGGGGTCTGAGTGAAGATTCCAGAACTGTTTTTATACCTTACATTTCTGGTGTTACTGAAAGCCAATATTTAAACTTAATATGTTTTATTTTCCAATGAAATATGGTGACTAAATTTTTCTGGAAGATTTACTTTTGGAATAATCTAGATTCTAATATGTTTCATAAAATCAGAGTTTAACTTTACATTGCATTTAACTGTTTTCCAAAGCTATTTGTCATTTAAACCTAAATTCTATTTTCAGCATCCCTTGTAGCATTTCATTCTATTGTACATGGGGTCACCCTGAGTTGAGGGCCAGCTTGACAGCAGCTGACAAGGACATACCTTTTTGTCTCTAACTGTTTTATGCTTAGAAGCACTGCTATCTCTTAACTACTAAGTATGCCTATAATCAGTCACTAAACTTACGGAGGATTTTTCTTCTTGGAAGTTAAGGTCCTGATGCTATCTGTCTTCTGTATTTTGTTCAAGATGACATGCAGTGGTTCTCAGCTTTTCCTCTGTGTCCAAATCATCTACACATAACCTATATTTCATCAGAAACAGCTCTCAACCTGGGGTAGGGAGAAGTATCCCCAAAGTAAAAATCTATCACAACTCAGCATATATCTGCTACAGAGTTAATAAATGTGTTGGCAGTGTGGGAAGAAAAAAGGATAAATATAACAAGGTTTCTTTTCTCTAAGAACTAATAAGCCCCTCTTCTTCCCATTCCCCACACTACTTAACTCAACCCTTCCCCTTTACTGAACTAATAAACTGCTAGCTGATATTTGACCTCCAGTTATTTTCTTCCCTAATCCATTAATCATTATTTTCCTAATTAAAACTCTGTTCATATTCCTTGATCAAGAGATCTTCAAGCATTGCCTTTGTCCACACAAAACCAAATACACCAAGCATCCAAGGCCTGCTGCAATATACCCAATCTCAGATTCTCCATACTCCCTCCATATCAGCTCAAATCCTGGTTATTGTCCAAGGCCTATTTTAAATGTCACTTCCTTGAAGATATCTTTCCTCAGTGCCCAAACTGGAAATCCTTTTTCTATCTTCATGAATTTCTCTTGTGACACTTACATTTTATCTACTAGATTTTAAAGTTTCTGGAAGAAGCAGTTTCTGCTTCAGAATCTTCTCTGTATTCACTGCAGCTTAGAATCGGTCCTGACTCTTGTGCTTGGAAGGCATACAGTAAATGTCTGCTGAAGTGAGTGTTGACAAAAATGTGTAAAAATTTGACTATAATTAGGCACTGAGCTGTTTGGCCCTGGACCTAAGTGAAAAGGAAGAGTATTTGTGGCAAGGGCGATAGACAAACCTACAGGGAGAGGTAGGGGATAAGCTTGAACTGGACTTCAACATCAGTCAGGACTCAAGTCAGTGGACTTGTCCAAGAGTTGTGTCTACTATGAAGCCTTAAGGAGCTACTCCTGAAGAACATTCTCTACTCAGTAGCAAATTATTCACTCTCCAAGTATTCTCATATAAGTCAGGAACTGATGGAAGAATTCTAAACCTTCTCCATATCTCTTATGCTTTTCCTAGAAGAAGAATTGCTACTCTGATACTGAGAGCCATGGGACCAAATAGTCTACGGAAGGAGCCCATTTGAAAGGTTGGTCTCAGGTCTTTTTCTAAAGAGGTGTTTGTGCAAGCCTTAGAGAGAGAAACAAGTAAGAACTCTACATTTGTTGCACAAACCTGTGGTGAGCAGGATAGTGTTTTGGCTGAGGGGGTGGGCTGCAGTCAGACCAGCTGTGTTTGCACCCTGGCTCCGCCAGCTCCTAGCTTGGAAACCTCAGGCTCCCGATTTGTGTATTGGGATAATAATAGTATTACTTCCTAAGGTGGTCATGTGGTTCAAATGGGATAATTTGAGTCATATAAGCAAAGCCCTGAAGCCAGGGCCTGGCAAATGATAAACCTTGTCAGTAGGTGCTAGTAACTACACAAACTATTTCATTTAGCCCTTTCAACAATTCTGTGAGGTCAGAAGAAGAGGTGCCCTCTTTTATATAGACAAGGACACTGAGTATCAGAGACTCAGAGATTAACTCATCCACAGCCATGCAACTAATAAATGGTGGCATATGATTCTGTTCTGTCTCTGAGTCTAAAGCCTAAGTTCTTTTCTACCCAGACTTGCCTCCTGCTCTTGGTCCACACTCCCACACCAAGAAACAGTGTTTTGCACAGCCCAGATATAGGCTCTTCTTTACTCTATTTAGAGTGTCATCAGAATTTTTAAGAGATGGTTTTACCCATGTGGAAATAATATCTAGTTGGCTCAATTTATGCTCTAAAGGAGAAGCCTAAGGAAATATCAATGTACCTATGACAGAGGACTTGCAGAAATTGAACGTGTGTCCTTTTGGGGGACCATTTACCCTCCAGCAGGTTGACACCCTCAGATTTGGCAAGTGGTCTAGCTTTGGTAAGTAGTCTACAGCCATTTCTGGAGCTTATTTTCAACCACTGTACAGGAATTATGACTGTATGTCTATGTTTTTGCTACCCATTGGTCCTCATCTTTTATTTGGATTTGTGTTTACTCTGATCTTGAGGTTTTTGTTTATTTACTTTACTGTATATAGTCTTTTAAAAAATTTCAATCTTCTTATTAAATATATATAATATGTATTTATATATAGTATATGTATAACAAAAAATTTGCCATCTTAACCATTTCTCTTTTTTTAACCGTGATTTGGCTGAAAGTTTATGGAGCAAATTGGTTTTCCATTCAACAATCCATACACATTCTATTTTGTGACATTTACTGCAATCCCAACGCTGTAACAACATTCTTCCCACTTCCTCTCTGTGCCCACCCATTCCCTTTATTCTTCTTTCCTCCCCTCCTGCTTTCTTA